GGCTGATGGTAGCGATAACCTAGTTAAGATGAAGACAGAATAGTTAAAGACGAGGACGATTGCCTCCATTGGAAAAGACGTGGAGTTAAGTAAAGTGATTATCCACTAATTTGCCTAAAATAGTATCAGAAGCAGCGTAGAGCTAGTCCAGTTTTATTGCAATGACCACAAATCCAATTTTCAAGTAGAAACGCAACATTTAATGTCCATACAATTTCTAATTGTTTAACACTGCCAGTCACCCAAACCAGTTGATGTATTCGAAGCAGTCATCAATATAAATTAATTGAGGAAATAATCATATCTGAATCTGAACCCAATATGCGCAGTAAAAAAGCTTAGTCTTGCAACATATTGTCATAAAATCATAACTTTGATAGGAATGAAGTACGTCATGGGTTACCATGTCATACCTACCCCAAGACTGGTCAACTGAGCTTGTCATAGAAGTACCGTATATAGCTAAAGTGTTGCCTATTTCAATATTAAAAGAAATTAGAACTTTCAAAATCGGTGCCAGAATAAACCTGTAAAACGAGGATTCAAAATATATCAACCAATTTGATTTGGACAATGGCAAAAAAAGGTTATGGACCACAATTAGGTTTGTGTGAAGGTATAGTACTAGAGATAGGAAACGTTTTTGGTGGGTCTAGAATGTAAATTCTATTTTGAAAATTATTTTAACTTCCTTATGATGCAGTACAATCTGGCCAAGATGAATATGGGATGAACATGGGGAAACGTGCGTACATGTCATTTGTGAAGCGGATCGGTTATCACTTGTATGTAGATGGGTTCATGGGTGGGATTGTTTTCTATGGACTAGAGGAAATTTACTTATAAATTAAGAAAGTCAAAAATAAAGTATTATTTGCAAGTTTTCTTTGATCTAATGGATATCGCAATGAGCAATGCATATGAAAGCCTCATAAAAAAATTTTATGCCTACCAGGACAATGACCAGAAAACGAATAAATATTATTTAATAAAATGCTTATGTTTTTGTAGCAAATTGTTATTACAAACTCATTTTCATATGGATTTACTATATACTTGATTAGGTATTTGACCCAGAGATTTGTAAACCATCATAATATGCAATTAGTTACTCAAAAATACTTCAACCTCAATTTTGTGACTGAAAAGGTTAAGATAATTACAATCTTTGCTTTGATAGGATCTTCAATATCCCCGTTCCATCAGGAAAAAGAAATCTTTCTTGTGTATCGACTTCGCAAAACGAAATTTGTTGCCCCTCTCAAAACAGTATCCTGTATTATTCTCTATTTCCCCAATTAAAGGGCTTATGTAGATTAAGAACAAAGCGATATAATTCATTTTTCTTTAGGACCCACTATCTCAGCACTCGGTGACCATCAACATCGTAATCAAGATGGATATAGCTATGGTGGGCCTAAGTTCAGGAATTCCTAAGTTAAACTGTATTCCAAAATTATTAAATATTGATTTCACTCTAGGATATCTAAACAACCTGTCACGTTATGTACGTTACACAAGCCAAACCTTTATATCTAAGCTTCTGTAATTAGTAGATCCTGATATACTGCTTATACAAGAACCTTATATAGCCAAGAACAGATATCAGGGTAGCTCAAGGCTAGATAGAGTAATCTCCGTTAGAGAGAAAAAAAAGGTGTTGTGTAAATGTGAAATCAGGTTTTTGACACAGTGAAGGAATGAATGAGGGAAAGAAATTGAAACCATAATACAGGAACCAGCACTTGAGATTGATAATTGGTCATGAAGAAGCGAATGTAATAACAAAGGTAGGGGAGAGAAAAATTTATAAAATAAACATTACCAAAAGCTAAGTACCACATATTGTAGTCTAAATACCAAGTTTCTAAGAAGAAATGGAATATCTCGAAAAGTGCAATTGAATCCAAGAGACAACTAAGAAGTCAACACATAACCTAAATTAAAAACAAGTCGTTCGAATTATTTCAGCCCGGTTTGTTCTGGGTTGTTGGTTAAGTTTTGTGTTGACCATTTTAAGTATCCTTTGATAGAGAAGTACAAAACTTTTTCCAAAATTCCTGATGACAGTCATCATGAGTTCTAATTAACAGGAGTAACCTACGATGGCTTATTTGTGTCTTGATATCTGGTTGAATTTTCAAAATGGATTTCAGGATGCGTATGTGATTGATGATCTTTGCATTAATTGTAAGCCACAAACATCACCATAAGGTACCATCACCTACTTGACGATCTGAATTCGATATTCTGCAACCATCTTCTCAACAGAAGCATGAATCGTGGAACTCAAAATGGTTGAATTCCGCATCGCTAATTCGCGGAGAACAGAACGTGTTGTAGGTCATCTTAATGCAGAACATGCTATATTATCAGCTTTATTATTAAACTGGGAGAGCCAAACCATGTTTTGCATCAAACACAAATAATAACTATGCACACATAAAGAATTTTTCTTGTTTACAAACACATCTACACAAAATGAATTACTGTAATTTCATTAACTCGTACACATATGAAAGTATACGGCAAAATCAACAAGTGAGAAGTAAACAAAGCAGATTGTCATATCTTATGCCAAGAGATTACTACCACTATAGTTCTATTGTTACGGTAAAAGCGAAATCATTACTATTACTTTCAAAAATTATTAATTTTCTTCGTTTGTTATACAATCAATTTTACAACTGGTTTCCTAAGAAATATTGCGTAGAACTTTGCAGCGATTTATCATTGATAGTCTCGATGGAAAAGCCTCAGCACAACCTCTCAACAACTATCACGAGTGAGCGTTCACAACTCTATTCAAATAACAATTTATCTTCTCTTCCTTAATTTTATAGATGTGTTTTTCTGCAAATTTATGTTTTTCGTACTTTAAAGAATATAAAAAAAGTTAATCTGTTATAAACTATTAGATTTCACACTTCATGTAAAGGTGAAAGATATCTTGATAAATTTCTAAGTGGAACCATTAAGAAATGCACTTCCTCATCCGACGCGACGCCATCCAAAAATACCAAACTATTTTTTCCATGTTTTCCTCCTCGGAATGCCGGAGCTTTAAGGCCGGCGTCTAAGCATGAAGCTCAAAGTGTCACCGTGACTTACCATCAGATATTGTTAGACGACGACGTAGGTGTGTTGGAGCCGCGTTTACTTCTTTTTATCGCTTCGTTTTGTAGGTGAGGACGTTTATGTCGTAATAGGCGCACCTAATTTACCGGTTTTGATGGATTTACGTTCACGGATTCTTCCAATTTATACGCAAAGACGTCTCTCAAAAGTCCTCTCTTACTATATTGGAAGGCGCGTGAGGAAAGTTTATCGAACTCCGTCTATTTATATTTTATGATTAATAGTCGTCTAGTCGAATAACGTACTAATTAGTTACAAATTTTAAAAACTTGTTTGGTTTGAAGGATCCTACCATTCATATTTTTTTTTGTAATCAATAAAGAAATCAATATGGCCTATAAATTGTTAGTGTTATTATCCACCAAAAATACCACCCACATTAGCAATATTTTCTTTTTCATTGAAATCGACCTCCAAAACTCGAAAACGTAAACAGTACAAAATAGTTTATCGTCCAAACAAACTCAGAGAACTTAAATAGGTCATGTGAACAAGTCAAAAAAAGAAGTCGGATTAAAACGCTTCGGGGAAAACCCCCGTACTAACTACTATTACTACGCAAGATGTATATGAGAGAAGAGGTGCCACCCTTCTGTACCGACATTCCAATCGTTTTGTTTTTGAAAAGAGAGTCTGAGAATGAGACGGGGGCCTCGGTATCTACGTTAAGCTTATTCCAGTTATAATCCCAGACGTAAAAATATCTCGCCGTCAGCGAATCTCGAAGACATATTGCTCACTAAACTTATGTGTGTCTGCCGGGAATAAAACCCGACGAGCTCCTCCTCACGATGGGGTGGTGCCACGACCACATAAAACATCCACAGTGTACTCACACTGTTGCCAAATTACCCCAATAAAATTTAAATGATACACGTATATGTATGTATATCATTTTTGTCATAACAAAATATAAAATATTGTTAAGGTGAAAATACTTAAAAGGTTTACTTACATAGCTCCTGTACCCGCTCATCCTTTTCTTGCGAAATCACAAAAAGAAACACTTAAATTTCGTCATACAAAAGTTCTAAACAAAAATGTCATTTTAATTGTATCACTTTAATTCTAATTAATAGAATTGGCGGTCATTTTCTTGGGGGAGAGAACTAATCGCTTGATCCAATTTATTAGAACAAACTCCAATTAAGTTGTACGGAACCGGCTACAAACATATTTCGTTTCCTCGGCGTTTCGTTCGGCTTTCCTGGCGCGCGTTTGTGAAACTTAAAATTGTGTAATATTTTAAAGAAGATTATGCACATATAAATAGGCTTTGGTCACGGAAGCGATGCAAAACTCTTGCTTTCAGTAAATCGAGCGAACGTTTCCGAATTGGCAGCAGATTGTAATATTTTTCACTCACTGGTGCTGTCTAACCGGGTCGCGAGTTAAATTTAAAACAATATTGTGTTGCAGACAGTCGTGTTTGTACCCGTTAGTGCATGACCGCAAAATGAATGATATTTCTACGCGAATTCAATCGAACATAACATTATCTTGTTGTATCATTTAAAATCTTATAACCTGTAATATTAATAAAAATCTTTTAATACTGAATTATAACATTAATAAGTGTTGATTTGAAAGTAAATAATTTTGTATACCGGTTTTTAGTTGATCGTCGTGTAAAATCCGTAAAAGCTCGCGATTGTTGGCGCGCACCAGTTAAACAGGACGCCGACCACTAATAGCCGATTCGAATCTAGACGACGACGCCGAGCGTCTTCAGCGCCAATACGAGTAACGACGACTAAGAACGGAAATTCTCGAAGACTATTTAAAGAAACCTTAAATGAAAAAAAAATATATATATAAGAAAATGTAAGGAAGGAAATCATAAAATAAAATATTTTCATTACTTCGGTGTCCTATTAATTAATTAATTTATTTTTAATTTGATTGCAACCAACACAAGACACAAAATATACTAATATTAATAGTTATATGTATTTACAAGATAAAACATTTGTACTTTCAATAAATAAATATACATTAATATCGTTAATGAAACGTAGGTATTTTTCTTACATTTTTAACGCAAATTAGGCGAAGTGAAATACATAGACTTTTTAATGTACCTACCCTAAATATACTAATCTCTGTCAAAGGCGAAACTAATTAATACAAAGAACAAAACGAGAATGAGATTGCCACGATTGCAGTCGCAAGAAACGACGGAACAATTCCTACTTTCTTGAATCCCGGAACGAGTGTGAACGGTCTGTAACAAAATCAAAACTAATCAGATCGATACTCTATCAAAAAATCTTTGAAGCTCCTGCAATTATTTATTATTTATATTATTTACTTTATTCAGTTTTTAAGACTTAGAAATTGAATTGTTTAAAAACTGAAAAAAAGCTCCTGAAAAAACGTTCACCGTTCGTCACAAAGGCTCCTGGACCAACAAACCTTGGATGCTTTAACGTGGAGCGGGAGGCGGCGGGGCGAAGGGAAAGCCCCCAGGCGGAGGGAAGAACGTCCTCTGAGGTGCAGGCGGTGGAGGAGCCGTGTAGAACATAGCTCCATTGGGCATCTGAAAGGGACCATACGGACCCGCGGGCGGTGGTAAACCTTGATACGCCGTCAAAATCGGTTGTTGTGGGGGTGGCGGTGGTGGCGCTGGTGCTGGAGGTGGCGGCAATGGAGGCAGCGGCGGTTGTTGCTGCGGAACTGTAGTGGCAGTGGTGATGGAGATGGTGGACTTGCCTGTTCTCGCTGGGGCCTGTGACGTTGGTGGCGGTGCGGGGCTGTATTCCCTACTACTCGATCTCGAAGACCTCCGCCTCCTCGACGATCGATCCCGGGACCTGCTACGATCCCGTCGATGCGTTGAACTTCTTCTAGGAGATCGAGATCTTGACCGGGACCGGGAACGAGATGGAGATCTTGCTTGGGCTGGGCCGCGCCCTCTACCCCAACGATTTCGACCTAAAAAGAAAATTTTAATCAATTTAAAAAGCTTTAATTTAATAATTAACACAAACCTCTTCCATTTGCACTTCCATTCGACCAATTTCTATTCTCAGCCATTTCTTGGAGTTTAGGATTGATAACCTGTTTGGCTTCTTTAAGAACAGCCACCAAATCGGACGCTTTATTCGCATTGCTAGGTGTGAAGAAGGTGTAAGCCGTTCCAGTGCGTTGTGATCTTCCTGTACGGCCTATACGATGAACGTAGTCCTCTGAATTCGACGGATAGTCAAAATTTATCACAAACTTAACATCTTCTACATCTGAAATTGTTCCGACAAAGGTGATGTGTCAAGGTGGATCGTGGAATAAGAGATGATTTAACAAACCGTACGACGCAAAGTGTAATTGTTTTTAGTTTATTTTTTCAATCCCGATTTTCATTCAGTTCATTTTATTTTCACTGCACCGTTTCTCCATGTATTTTTATACTTAAATTTCTTGATTTTACGCTGTACCAGATTCTTACTCTAAATAACTATTATAAACTTTATTTGCAAGAAAGAAATATGATCAATTTAAGCACTAATTTATAACAAAATGAGATAAGAAAATGTTACATGTCTCTTTCTTACGAAAATAATTTTTGTTGATGTGTTATTCTGGTACAAAAAAAAAGTTGTTTTCTATTAATTTAGTTTAAACCGAAATTTGTATCCAAACAAAACGAAAAATAAAAAAAAAATAAAATAAAATACACAAGTATAGCCTACCTATGAAACAAACCAAATTTGATATAAAGTGTGAGTACGGTTTTTGTAATTCAGTGATGCATACCAATGTAGCTATTGTCAGAAAGGCATTGGTACATGGGCGATAAGTAACGACCCCGGCGCAGTCTGGCCAAAGTCAGACCAGGAACCCAACGAGCGAGGGCAGCGTGTCGTTTAAGCCCGCGGCCAGGTTATAGCCGGCAGTCTCGGGACCACAGACTCCAACATGGCCGTCGAGGGCGGCCGTCCAGAGCCAGAGCACAGAGAGAGGCACAGCCAACAATGACAAGCCAACGACATGTCATTAACCTGCTTGTGCCTCTGGAAAGAAGAGCAGTGGCCACTTTATACAAAAACAAAAAAAGAAACACTGTCTCTACAAATACCATGGATCCCATGCACATCGGTCAACAGGCTAATAGTGTTTTTTTGTTGATGCTCCGTTCGCCTATCAAGAGCCACTAATTTTTTAACTTCGTAAAACTTTTTTCATACAACCAAAAATCAAAAAAGAACTGAAGAGAAGAAAAACTTAAACGAAAAAGGAAATTATTAGCCTGCTAATCATGTCTTTTTTTTTTAAGAAATTAAACAAAAAATTAAAAACAGCTGATATAAATCTCAAAGTATTTCATACCTAATCCACGAGCAGCTACATCTGTTGCTACAAGAATCGGCGCCTTTCCCGATCTAAAATCTGAAAATTATATTAGATCAAATTATTTTGAACAATTTATTTTTATAATAATTAATTTAAAAATTTACCCCAAAGACGATTCTAAAATTCAATAATAATCAATTCTCAAAATGATGTAATTCTTAAGGTGAAAATAAATTCAAAAACACTAAGCTTAATCATAGTGTTTGGTACACACAAACCTTGGCATGGAAAAGAATACTATTAGAATTTATTTTGGGTATGTTTTAAGTGGAGCATTTTATATTAAATGTGTGCAACGTATGAGGAGGAATGTGTGTGACGTAATACATTCTTTTTAATTTTGTATATGTAATGGTGTACTTAAGCCATAGCCAAATTAACAACGAAGAATAAACGTCAGGCATTAAATGTTGATTCGGCGGGTAATATAGCTTAGTGACTTGGCTCTTTGATGGTTAAGGAGATTCAGATATAAAAAGATTTAATCAAACGATTGAGATGATATACAGATTCAAAATGAAAAACCATTTTGTTTACAGATGAGCTAAATTCGATTTGGAGTTATAATTTTAAGTAAAATGAAATTATTGCTGAACAAACAACCGAAACTGGACCTCAGTGATAAATTTGATCTTTGTATCGAATAGAATAAATGGAGGTAAAGACATACGGAAATTTGTGAGATTATGACGTGCCTTATTGTTCTGTTAGCATGAATTAATTATAAATAACCTAACAATAGAAGCGTGTTGTTTTTAGGCATTCGTTTAAAAGGCTTTGATCTTAATCTATTTTTGCGCGATTTACTGACTTCCATATTTTAGTATATTCGATATCACGTTATATCAAGTTTTGTTATTTCTGTACAAGATAAGGATAACGTCCGTAGACTATAATGACCATTATTATCAATTTTATAGAAACAATAATAATACAAATGTATGATTAATTGTGATCATATGGGCTGTATAAAATATATGGAATTTCCACATATTTTAAAATTTTAATAAAAATTTTGTCCACTTCCAAAATTATCAATGATCGTATGACGCAGAAACACAAAAAAAGATACTCTCTACTTGATGACAATCGTTTTGGCGTTTATGAAGCTTGGGCATAATGTTAGCAGTTAGATGTGGCCAAAATTTTAAGAGACTGCGCTAGGTGGCGCTAGGAATTAAAGTGAGAAAGCCAAGAATTTCCCAATAGATTATTATAAACGAAAGACGGTCTTCTCAGCTAGTCTCAAAGTCAATAAATAGCACAAGGACATTTCTTCTCATTTCAGTTACTTCTTTACTTATGCTCGACCACTTGCTCTTGGCATTTTCTAATACACCTCTTATTCTTTGGATATTGAATCTGTAGTGGAATATTGTCGCTTCCCATTGATAATTAATTTTGGCCAAAAGATTCTTAAAAATATGGGAAACAGAAACTGTTGCCAGGTTTAGGTTCGTTATTATTTTAAATGCAGACCCAACCCAACCTCCTCTTTAAAACTTTTTTAAACTAAGTAGTGGTGACACCTAGTAAGTAAGGTCAAATTTGTCAAATTATTATGTACAGGAATTGACCAAATCTGTTCACGGTAGGAACAGAAACATAACGATGGACAATTGGTTCACTTCGGTTTAAATAGCTAACAAACTCTGGAAAAATAAGAGGGAAATACCACCCGAAATGCTAAATATGAAAAGTATAGAACCAAATATATCCATGTTTTGCTTCGACAAAAATAAAACTCTCTGTTCTATATGCCAAAACAGAACAAAATAGTACTACTATTTTCAACAATGCACGACATTAACAACAAACTAGAAATAATTTGAAATAATGAGACTAAATCGGGAGTAAACTCGTTCCAAATGTGTTCAAATATGCCATGTAGTAGAAAAATCAGAAGATGGCCGCTCAATTAATTGCCTGTATCGATTGTTATGTCGTGTACTGTTGCAATATTATCAACAAACATGAAAAACTTGTGCGGCGTTATAAATTTATGATCTAAACTACCAACCAACTTTCCACGACATGGATGGAACAAAAGCTTAAAAAAATTAAAAATTTACGTCGAAATCTGCGTCAAATTATTAAGGGAATTCTGAAAATTGATAACCATCCTGATGATATCCACCAAGTTGAAAACAAACGTGCAACATGCTTTTATTGTCCAAGCCGATTATAGGTTTGTTCGTTGGGACTGCACTATTCTGCACGACATGGCACTAGTATGACGTCATAGTGTAATTAAGTGTAAGTAAGTGCAAAAAACAAAAAAATATTTTATACAAAAGTTGTTTCACTCATCACTTTCTATTACGTAAAATTATTTTCACTTATACAGAGTGTTCCATTTAAGCGTAACGGAGAGTACGTCAATTTATTTAAATGGAACACCCTATTTATTTTATCATATAATGAATACAACTATATTTGTGTATATGTTACTATTTCACAGCGTTCATAGTTCCTGAGATATTCAACTGTTCTTCCAAAATGTGCCCATTACAGAATCTTTTTAAAAACGATGTAAAAACGACGGTTTTTCCGATTTTGCCTTGAAATTACGTCAGACAATAGTCAAAGCCAGTAGGTAGATGATAGTATTCAAAGACATTAGATACACTATACAGGTTATAAAGCTTAACTACTTTTGATGTTTTTCAAATGGCTTTTTCTTAAAATTTTTAAATGGAACACCTGTATATTGTGTGCTAGTTGAATTGCTCATTAAGTTCCCTTTAATTAATGATAAGTATGTCATATATCTAACTTTAATAGTTTTCCTGATATTAGATGAAAAATGTATAATAAAATGTCATTATTGTACTTAAAAAAGTGACAGAATGTTTTTTCTTTTTTGTTTGTCTGTCATTTCTAAATCAGTAATATTATATTAAAATACAATTAAAAAAAACTTTAATAATTAAATAATCAAAACGTGATAAAAATACAATTAAATGGCAGAACAATAAATCCCTTTTTTAATTATTAAATTATTTGAAGGAAATACAGCAACAAATTATAAACAATTACTAAACAACAATTGCTCAACGAGTAGGTATTAATTTAATTAATATTTAGAAATTGTTCAAAATGCCGCCCAATTTCTCTTCTACAACCATTAATGCGCTGTATAAAAGATCTTGAGGTATCTCTTAACATGTGCATCTTATTTTCTCTAAAGTTGTAAATTATATGGCAAAACAATTGCATATCGTCGTATTAAAATCTGGTATATGGCAGCAAAATTATTTTACATTGTAAAATATTAATCAAATAACAAAAGAAAAAACAAAAAACTGATAAAAATAGACAGAATATAATATTAAGTACAATAACGCATATTTTATTACACATTCTTTAAATTCTAAATATCAGGAAAACTACTAAAGTTAGATATATGACATATTTATCATTAATTAAAGGTAACTTAATGGGCAATTCAACTAGCACACAATATACAGGTATATTGTACTGTATATTTAAATTTCAAGTGATTAGAAAATAGTAAGTAGGAGTAAAAATTTATTTGAAATTGTAGTAGTAGTACAAATTTGAAATTATTGCAGAATTATGTCATAATAAAGTCGTCCAAGTCAGGAAAATTATCCCAATGTCTGAGTGAATATCCGGTATTCAAGACTGATATTAAGGTACTTTTTTACAAAGTTTGCAACAAATCAGTAAAACAGCATCTAGCAAGCTTAAAACACATAGAACTGGAGAAAATAAATATTGAGAAAAAAACTACTCAGGCTTTTTTGTTGAATGTTCCACATCCAAATCAAAAGATGTTCAATTTGAGAAGATCTATGTAACGCACTAATTTCCGCTGATATAGCTCTACATAAAATGCAAAAGAAAAAATTAATATCTTTCTGAGAATCATACACACAATATGTGAAGTAACTTTACAAAAATACCATAGACCACATACAGAAATGCACCAATGAACGCTTCTTGTGAATTTCAATCGACAAAACAACAGATGCAACAGGAAGACATGTGACAAATGTCATTATTGGTATTTTGGATCGTGATGAGTTGATTGCTAAACAAAAATTTTTGTTAAATGCGCTGTGCTTGATAGAGCAAATCATAACAATAGTGCAAGGTTTTTCAATGATTCTATTAAGATTTTGGGTGAGACTGGCATAAACAGTGAAGCTGCTAACTTATTGTTAGTAAAGAAAAAAATAGCTATGGTTATTTAAAAAAATCACTACAGAAATACCCTAGCATTTAAATTTGCACCTATAACTTCAGTAGAAGTGGAACGAAGTTTTTCCATGTCTAAGAATGTTTAGATAGCAAATAGTTTATAGTTTAAATAGCAAACAAAGTTTCCTTTTTGATAATTTAAGTGAGATGTTTGACATTTATTGTAATCAAAATTTAAGCTAAATCTGTTTCTTCAATATTTTCCAATTCGAACTAATAAACATCTCATCTATAGAAATAGATATCATTTTTCTTTTGCTTTGTTTAACCTTACCTACAGATTTAAAACATATCTATAATCTTTTAATATTAGCTTATTTTTATACTTAAATAGCTTATTTTGATTTTTATAGAACATATTTTAAGCGCTTAAACTAACATTTTTCGAGCATATTTTTGGTTTCCCTATTAATAAGTAACATCTGTTTTTTAAGTTTCAATAAATATATGTTAATCTTTATTCAATAAAGTTTACTCAAATTTCTTATTCTTGTTTGATATATAAAAAAAACATATTAGTATTATATTAATTTTAATCTTCTTTCTCCTATGAAGACAGTTGATACCATTAAATGTACAAAATAAGCAAGACTCATTTCATTCAAGTTACCAAGATGTTATGAAATATAATATTTAATCTATTAGATTTAAACCTCGAGTATTGTTTCAAAAAGAAATTTATGGAGTGATAAAAAATATTAAAGGTTACGCGAATTTTAATCAATAAGACACAATTTTCAATGTCAAATTCTGACCTGTTTAGGTTCAAACCCAAGGAAATATACTAAGAAACACGAAAAAAGCGTTTTTCAGCCTGTGACACCCATTACATTAATTATCCATTAATATTATGGATAAAAATAATATAATAATCATGATGGTGAAAAGACTCCTTTTTTTGGGGTAAAGGATTTAAGATATTTTTATATTAAGTCCTTCTAAGAGTTAACTTCATTAAAAAGTTCCATTACCTTGCAAAACCCAATCCCTTTCTTGTTGAGATTTATCCCCATGAATACAAACAGCAGGCCAACTAAAACAAGAAAATTAATCTTAAAATAAATCTTTTTGTTCAACCCAAGATAACAGCATTATTGAAATTTTTAACAGTGAGCTGTTTAAGAATTATGTGTAATTGAAAGTACATTGTGTTCAAGATAACACAATCAGCAATAAGTTCAACAATGATTAAAAGACGAATCATACCGTCAAAACAAAAACTTATCAACAGTAATTAAAGTAACACAAGTAGTCCTTTTGAAACAACAATGATAAAATCTTGTAGTAATATTTCATTTGGTTAATTAAAAAAATATATTTCTAATAATATTAGGTCCAAAAGTAAAAGTATTAAGTGTCTTAAAATATCTTACCCATCTCTTTTCATTTTTCTTGTAATATCATCCACCCTCCGTTTTGTTTCAATAAATATAATAGTCTTATTCTCCTTTTCAGCCATAATTTCTTTTAATAAAGTACTTAATTTCGTTTCTTTCTCATATTCCTGACAAACATCTATAATCTGCAAAATATTATGATTCGCAGACAATTGCAATGACCCCACGTTAATTTGTATGTAGTCTTTTAAAAATTCCGCGGCTAAAGCTTGAACTTCTTTAGGCCAAGTAGCCGACCACATCAAAGTCTGTCGATCTGGACGGATTTGTTCAATAATTTTTCTAATCTGCGGCTCAAAACCCATATCTAACATTCGATCGGCTTCATCCAACACCAAATAAGTGCATCTTTTTAAATTAGTACGGTTACTTTCGAGAAAATCTATTAACCTTCCTGGAGTAGCAATAACTATTTCTACTCCATCCATTAAATCGTTTGCTTGAGGTCCTTTTGGTGCCCCACCAAAAACACAGGTATTTCTTATTCGAGATGATCTACCAAAATCTGTAGCTACTTGTTGGATTTGTTGTGCCAATTCCCTCGTGGGTGCAAGTACTAAGGCTATTGGACCATCCCCCCTTTGAAGCCTTGGTTGATTATTTATATGTACAATAGCTGGTAAGACATAAGAAAGCGTTTTTCCAGATCCTGTTGAAGCAATTCCAACCATATCTCGTCCCGATAATGCAATAGGCCAGCCTTGCGATTGTATAGGAGTTGGGGCTTTAAACCCCATTTTACGAACTTCACTCATAACATAATCAGGAAAGGAAGCTTCATCAAATGATAAAACCGGTTCAGGAATATTTTTTCCTTTTAAAGATATCTCTTTACTCCGCCTCCAATCTTCAATTTCATAAACACTTCTACTTGAAACTTTTAAATGTGGTACATAAAAATCTTTTTTAAAAGGTTCTAATCGACTCAAATCCCATCGCGGTTTTCGTAAGGTTGCCCCCGCAGCGCTTCTTCTCGAACCACCATAACCTCTGTCTCTACTACGAGATCTACGACGATCTCGGCTTCTCGATCTACAATAAAATTTATATACGATGTAAATAAAAAATGATTTTTTTGAAATAAATGTTTAGAAAAATCAATAAATTGGCTTACCGCCTTCCAGTTCGTCCTCTCATTAAAATAACTTTAAAAAGTCACGGTTCTTGGTCACAATAACAAAACGGAAAGACGCGCGAAGTGAACCGTACGGATTACAAAACACAAACTAAACTCACTGTTTATAAAATACCGCGAAAGGAAAGCAAAATCGTTACGGGGCGATTCGTTTACAATTCGAGACGAGTAAATCAATGGAGAAAGCGCTTGATGTTTACGTCAATCGATGGCGGGAAATTTAAATTTGTTTAAATGATTTGAGGAAATTTAATGATTAAAAGCTTATTAAATCGAGATAATTCATTTTTGATATCAATTTGTTGTGGTGTTATTATTGTATTATTTTATAATTTATTGTATAGAGGAGATAAATGATTTTTTTAATGAAAATTTATTTGGAAAAGGTTGGGTTTGTGGGCGGTACTAAGAGGTCATAGAGCTTGAACTTGTATTTTTTTGGCTTATTTTAAAGCGTGCAAAAAATTTGGAATGTGAACCGGTTATTTTACATATTTTTGGGTGTACAGGTAGTTGAAATGAAGATTAAAATATTTTTTAAATTCATTAATAATTTTAAAGAAAAACAAATACAATTAATTTTCAAAATATAATTAAACCTTTAAAACACTAAAAATTTATTATTTAATTTAAAAATCATATCTTTGTGTAATAAATAAATTCATGATGCCACAGTGGTGCTAACTTTTAAAATAATTAATTCCTATCATGATGTGTCATTTTGACAAATCAATTTTGACATTTTGAAGCTGTCAAAATATTTAACCCGGCGTTACATACAAAACCACAGCGGTCTAAAATCGCTCTGAAAATACACTAATATTAATTTTATGGGCTTCTTCAATAAGCCCCCACTAGAGAATTCAAACAGCAGGTCAGCAAGACGAATTATACGCATTTGAAATCCTCTAGGGTGTGTTAAACCCCACGTATGTATTAACGTTAGTAAATATATAATAATACTTCAATTGAACTAAAACTAGAACTAACACTACAAACTTTCGGGTTTTGCCGTGCGTCTTTTAAGAAAAGGTTTGACGTTTCGGATGCCATGTTGCAACATTCTTCAGAAACTGGTTCGAAGTGAAATCTAGTCTATGATGGGACAAGAACATAAGAAGAGGAACTAAAAAGAGACTAGGAAGAACTCTAGTAGAGTCAACCTAGGCTATGGTGGTAAGATATATTCGATTAAATTAATTTAATTTAGATTATTCGCGTAAATTCAACTTCGAACCAGTTTCTGAAGGAGGTTGCAACATGGCATCCGAAACGTCAAACTTTTTCTTAAAAGACGCACGGCAAAACCCGAAAGTTTCTAGTGTTAGTTCTAATTTTAGTTTAATTAACTCCGACCGTGAAAGCCTTCGTACTTATAATAGTTCAATTGTTGTTGTGGACGTATTTTCGACAAAAATAAGTGCTTTAACATTCTCATACAAAGAGGAACAGAAAAGGCTTCAAGTTTTATGGGATGAAGTTATGACTGATGACGAGACAATCGAATCAGGAAGCATATCAACAGATATGCTTCCTAATAATAAGTATATCAATAGAGGTTGAATTGGAGAATAATGAGGCTGAGCAAGAGATGAAAGCTGAAAAAAGAAGCAGGCAAGATTATCTCGGAAAAGATGGAACGAAGTGGGAAAAAAATTCATGAAACTCACGAGTCCGTACAAGAGCAGACAATATTGTTACACATTTGCCGGGTGTGAAACAATAGGCATGTGAAAAGTGTTATGGATTGTTGGCAGCTATTTTTCGATAGTTAAATAGTCGAAGAGATGTGCTTATAAAAATAAATCCATTATGAAACCAACGACTGTTCCCAAAATTAAATGATTCATGGGATTATCATATTTAGCAGGAATATTCCATTCCAATCGTCAGAATTTAAGAGACAATCTGACGAGACTGGAGTGGATATCTTTTGTAGTACGATGTCGATAAATCGATTTCAATTTTTGATGGACTGTCTTCGCTTTGATAATTGTCGGTTGATATTAGCAACCGACAAATTATTATTGGAAAGATTTATCGACAACTGTAAGCATTCATATAGTCCTTAACAGTATCTGACAATAGATGAAAAGTTGGACTCTTTCCGTGGTAGGTGTTCCTTCAAGCAGTATGGAATCAAAGTACAAGCATTGTGCTACTAGCATCATTGGTTGATGCACGTTTCTATTATGTTTTGAACCTCAAGGTATATGCATGAAGACAACTAAGTGGGCCTTATACTATCAGTAATTCAGCTGCAGATATTGTTGAGAGGCTTATAGAACCCATTTCTGGTTCCAATCGGAATGTAACATTTGATAACTGGTACACTAGTTACGAATTGATGATGAAACTGCTAAAAGACCATAAGTTGATATCAGTAGGCACGCTTAGAAAAAGAAGCATTGCATTCCAAAACAATTTGTGTCAGTAAAAACCAGAGCCAAAGACAAGTTTATTTGGTTTTCAAAAAGACATAACACTTTTATCATATGTACCGAAAAAGAATGAAAATGTGTTGCTGATGTCTACAATACATCATGATGGAGCAATTAATGCAGCAACTGAGGAGAAGAATTTACCCGAATAATCTAAATTAAATTAATTTAATCGAATATATCTTCTTACCATAGCCCAGGTTGACTCTACTAGTGTTCTTCCTAGTCTCTTTTTAGTTTCTCTTCTTAAGGCATCCTATAATTTACGTGCTTTCAGTTATTCTATATTTTATCCCTTTTTCCCCTATACCATTCTTATCTACAATTATAAATGGCCAGCTTAATCTAAATTTGTCCAAATTGCATAATGTAGCTTTGGGTGAGGAGTTGACCGAATCTTGAGACAAATGCTTTTAAAATAGAATCAAATGTCTGAATAGTTAATAAGAAAACTGTGTGAAAAGTTGTAGTGTGGGTTGATACCGCTGCTTCAGGAGAGTAGCAAAAATATGACGGACAAATTGCAATATTTAAATGCTTAAAAAAGCAATTTAAAGCAAAATGTTGTACAATATGGTAACAACTAAATCTTCCACTGAAAGTTGGTTTATAAGCGAAGTGGGTATCAACCTATGTGTTCATAATGGCGAATCGTATGTATTCATCGGCGAATATAGGCACAGACCACAAGAAAAGAACTAGAAAAGAACCTATAGAAGATAGTTGAAAACGCGTTGATTTTATGGATTGAGGTTCAAACTCAAAAAGGACCCACTCTAAGCTCTGAACTCTTTAGAGACAAAGCTAAAAAGCTATACGACAATTTTATGAAAAGTAAACCCTCTTGATCACATATTGAGCTGAAACCAATTGTCGCAAGTAAGGGTTGGTTCGACAAATTTAAAAATCAGTTGAAAAAAGTTGATGGATAAGTTTCCCTCAGCCGATCATGAGGCAGCAGAGCTGTATCCAGAATTCCTAAAGAATATAATTCAAGATTGAAAAAAATTCAATAGACAAAAGTCTCCTAACACAACTTCTCTTCTTCAGCCTTTAGACCAAGGTATTATAGCTACATTCTGGGTATATTATACCAGAACTTTTTTAATCGCGCATGAATTGAAAAAATCTACATTGAATGGTTGCTGGAGGAATCTGGCCAAGTGTTGAAGGATGATGAGAATTTGCAGAATGACCCCAGAATGACACCATGATTCAACAAAACCGGAAAGATTAGCGGAGTTAGTAATTTACTTACTAAGACATTGTTCTCTTTGGATAGATTTAGAGATACTTTCTGCAATAGGAGTGCCAGGAGCAATATAAACGCTTTCCTGGAAAAAGGTGAAAAGGCCATCAATTCGGAAAATTTAAAACAATCTCGCTGCTGCTGTTATGTGTAGTAGCATCCGATAGAAGTGTTCAGTTCGTCTTAATCAGAAAAGAGATGTGTTATATTTAAAATGGGTATAAACTCGGGCATATTCCAGGACTGAAATGCCAATTGAGATCTATTTAAGAACAATTTAACTAAGAGGCTAACTGATGGTAGAATCTGTCGGTAGAACTAACTTTATTTCTGTTGAAATCTTTTGAGAACACCATTGGTATCTGTCACTTCAGTATATTAATAAAGTTGAAATGTCGGCAAAACTAATTCTAAGTATATTATTTGGTAGATAGAACATTCAAGGTTGCTCAGGAAAAGGAATGCTTGGTTTATGCTTTTTATGGAATATGGATCAAGAACTCGTATTGCACCAAATATTACCATCCCATGAAACAAATCAGTACCACGCTCAGCTTACTACAGTCGTCAGTAAACTAGCGTAATGGGTGAGCACCTAAAATAGAAAATACTTATCTGAAATGCGAGTACACTTCAGTAACATAAAAAAAAACATCCAAGTCACAAAGTACTTGGAGACAAATAATCTGCTACATTGTCTAACGACAGTGTTTTCGCTAAACCGGCGACTAAAAGCACATCACTCTAATAAAAATTCATATATCTTAAAATATCGTCAGAAAAAATATTAAAAGTTCTTCAAAGTTGGCCAGGTTTATATCGATATAGCTCGGATGCAACGACTTGGCTGCAAGCAACCTCGGCTAAATTAAGCCAATCATATTTAGCTCATATATGGTTTTGTAGTGAACAATTGGATTTAAAAACCAAATAGAATGGTTGGGAAGAAATTTACACGAAGAATCGCCAGATGTGGAATAAACAACAAATTCTAAGTGATTACTTCGAAAAAAGCTAAGGGAAGCAAATATCTTGAAAAGATAAACGATCGAAAGAGCATGTAATGCAGGTAATATTTCACCCTGATACAAAAGGACATCGAGAAAATCTTTAAAATCAGGAATCAGTTATTGATTATGATTCTTATATCAGTACATTCTTGCCGAATCGAAGAAAATTTCTGCATTGGCAAAGAAGTAATTTGATCACTTTACTATATATTATTATTATTATTTCGCTTTAGGTTAGTTTTATTTATAAAAAAATATTATTTCGACATTTAAAAAAGTAATAAGATTGATATTATCATGACTTGACATCAATCATGATTAGTTTTAATCTATTTAATCTTTTGAAAAGGAAATGATGGATAAGGTAAGATAAGTTTAATAAATATAACACATTTCCGATATGTTAATGGTAAAAATCTTTAATAATAAATAAAAATTGCGAAAAAGTATATACATTTTGGCACTGTATATGTACAAATGAAGAGTTGATAAAGTACAAATCACATTGACTAGAGAGAAATAACCGCTACGATTAATGCAAAAAACGAATTCCGGAAGAATTTTAACATTCTTACAATAAGTACTTTATCAATAAACTACAATTACGGTACTAGATGCTTTTTCTTGTCATGCTTATTTCGAACTATTTAATCATTAAGCTAATATAACTAAAGATTAATTTGTTCTTGTTTAAATTGTTAAATATAAATTAAATGAAAATATTACAAGATATATAGCGTTCAAAAATAACTTTTACAATTAATAATATGTTGAATAATGGTGGTATGATGGATTAGGGGACGCAACATGAGGTCGGGGAGGTAGCGCGGTCGGATGGTAAGGTGTTGGAGACACTGAATAACCACTATAAGGAACAGGAGATATACTTCCATTATTAGGTAGTATTCTACTATCACCTAAAATCCTTCCTTGATCTAACAAACGAGGTTGATCACTTATTAATCTACCCTCATCCGGAAGCAATCTTTGATCAGAACTAAGCAATCTATTCGAATCATTTGTTAACAACCGATTCGTTGAATGGTCAGATAATATTCTATTACTCATATCAGAAACTGAAACTAATCGTCCATCGTTCATATGACGAGGCGCGTTTAATTCACTACTTAATAATCGAGATTGATCTAAGGATAATCGATGATTTGTTGGAATTGTATGATCGGAAAGTAATCGAGAATTAGTTATTTGATGAGATCTTAAACTTAAATCAACACTATGTCGACCCGGGGGTGTTAAATCCAAAGAAACAACGCGTAAAATATCCGCGTGCGTGTAATTTTGCGATGGCGAATTATAATTTAATCTTAAATCAACCGTAGGGCGATCTACATCCGAATATAAATGATGATATCTATTTAAATTTGAATAATTATGATAACTACGAGCCGACATATCGAGACCTTGAAGTTCTGCCGAATTTAAAACGAGATGTTCAAAACTCCGATCCGGCCTAAAATCGGTATCCAATAAATTTCGATTTTCCAAACTATTTCTAGTTTCCAAATTTTCAACCAAATCGTAACTTTTTATTCTAAAATCATCGATTGTGTTATCGTAGGTATTTCTACTTCTTAATTCCGAGTCTAAATTATCATAATTTTTTCGTAAATCTAAATCAAGATCAAATTTACGTATGTTTTCGATTTCTTTTAATTTCTCCTGTTCTTGAAGTTGATTATCGTTCAAAGCGCGCGATTGCAAATCTAATTCATTTTGATTCGGAATTTCAGACGTAAACTTATGGATATCGTCGTAACTTTTCGGAACATCCATTCCTAAATATAATTTCCTATCATTTTCATCGAATTTTAATCTAAAATCTTTCCTAAATTGGAAATTCGGATCTAAATTATAATGCGATTTGTATAATGATAAATCGAGTTGTGCGTTCTCTTTCGTGTTATGTATACTTAAATTTTGAACACCAATCCCGTTACTATCATCGGAAGATATATTATCTGGATTAACATTGTGGCTAAAATCGTATCTTGGGGGACTATTAGCTGGGGAAACATTTTTCGAAACGTTATCGTAATTTGGGTTATTTTGAGGGGAGTTGATGTAGTCGCGAACGAAATTATTGCGGTTTTGAATACTTGGGCTATTTGGTGGGCTAAAATCATCTTGAGGAAAACTTGAATAATCAATGCGAATATTTTGGGAATGACGTAACTCATCGTTTAAATCATCAGTAACTGAAATGTGATCATTCACCGATGGTGAAATTAAGTTTATATCACGACTTTCCGTCATATCAACTGAATGGCTGTAAGTTACGTCGGGTAAAGCATCGGCGTGTGAAAGTGTATATAAATTATTAACTAAAGCATCAGTACAATTCGTGGTGCTATTAACGTCTATATCAATATTAGGTTCGCTACAAACCGAATCTAAAGCAGCTTCGACTAACAAACTCGCGTTAGAAGATTCTTGTCGATTAAAAGTATTTAAATTTGAATTTAATTTTAAATGATCATATTGTTGATCCCTTGTTTGCAACTCTTCCATTTCCAACCCCATATTTTCATCAACTTTTTGTTTCGTTTTATCAACCTGATAAATATCTAAATCAGACGCCATCCATTTTTTGCTACCTTTAGTTAAAAGTTTCATCCCCGAGGTTGAATAGGAAGGTTCGATATTTCCGAGATTACTTTGATTCGAACTTGATGAATTATCGTTTTGTTGAGTTGAATTAGCAGGTTCTTCTTGTTGCGGTTGATCGCAATTTTTCCCATCTAAACTTATATCATCCACGTCGCTGCTACTATCGAATTTTCTTTTCTTATCTTCTTTTTGTTCCGATTCGGACATTGGTTGATCGTCAGCTCCGCTGTAAGCTTCGAATGTGTAATCGACACTCCTTTCAATTTTCGGCATTTGATCTTCAAGCAAACCATGCGCCTTTTTATAATGAAATTGTAGACATTGTTTTGTTGTAAACGCCGCTGAGCATTCTTTTTCGTTGCATCTAAACGGTTTTATCCCACTGTGAGTTAACATATGGATTTTTAAATTCGATTTGTTTTGGAACATTTTCCCGCATTTAGTGCAAGCGCATGCGTCGTCTACTTGTTTTTGATGGACTTCTTTGACGTGTCTTTGTAAAGCGGCTTTTGAACCAAGTATTTTCATGCAGTTTTTGCATTGGAAGTCTTTTAAAATATCAGCCATATCTAAATAATAAAACAAATTTTAATTTCTTTAAATAATTTTGATTAAAATTTTCTTACCACCATGCATTCTTTTTATATGAACCTTTAATTTTTGCGGCTGACAAAATTTTCGGCCACAAAAATCGCATAAAGGGCGTGATCTTTGAGGGTTTGCTGAGCACCCATAAGTTCTATGCATTTCTAAGTAATTTAATCGAAGGAAGAACTAGAAAATGTTAATTAAAGTTGATTTCAATTTTTCTTTGACACAATTTCTTACCTTTTTACAAAATTGGCATTGATAAGCGCCTTGGCCATTATGTAATTCAGAAGCATGTTTCATAATGTTCTCTTTTCCCAAAACGGCAGCTCCGCACACTTTACAATGATACTTTCTGATTGTTAAACTGTATCTTACATCGTGGAATATGTTACAGTGGATTCTGTAGTAAATTGGATGACCAAAATTCATGTTACATCCACCACAATCTAAAAAATACATTTATATTTAATCTCGTAGTTTCTGTGTTTTATCAAGGGAATGGGAAAGAATATGGAGATTCATTGGGGGACGACACCATTAGAATTTATTGTTTTTACAGCTGGTGCATATTTTGCCTTGTAGTTTATTGCTCCAAATGTGCACTACAGAACCAGATATATGCTACAGATAATTGTAAGCAATTCTGCGTTGTTGTAGAGAAAAAGAATGTAGACGCAAAAAGATGTTAAGTAGACAGAATATAACAATTCCTGAAGTTGAGCAAAATCCATTGGAGATAAAGCTTGCATAGTGTAGAAATTGCCGACTTGGCAAAGAAGAATTTATCAATAAAAGCCATAGTTCGAACCTCTTGATGAGTAAACAGAACATAACAAGTCCAGAAGTTGAGCAAAATCCATTGGAGATAAAGCTTGTATAGTGTAGAAATTGCCGACTTGGCAAAGAAGAGTTTACCAATAAAAGCCATAGTTCGAACCTCTTGATGAGTAAATAGAATATAACAATTCCAGAAGTTGAGCAAAATCCATTGGAGATAAAGCTTACATAGTGTAGAAATTGCCGACTTGGCAAAGAAGAATTTATCAATAAAAGCCATAGTTCGAATCTCTTGATGAGTAAACAGAATATAGCAAGTCCAGAAGTTGAGCAAAATCCATTGGAGATAAAGCTTGCATAGTGTAGAAATTGCCGACTTGGCAAAGAAGAGTTTATCAATAAAAGCCATAGTTGGAACTTCTTGATGAGTAAACAGAATATAACAAGTCCAGAAGTTGAACAAAATCCATTGGAGATAAAGCTTGCAGTGTAAAAATTGCCGGCTTGGCAAAGAAAAATTTATCAATAAGAGTAATCCAACATCACATAACTTTTTTAATAGGAGGAAATGATCCAACTAATCCAACTCCTTCCAAAAGTCAAAGGTACATTACAATATTTTGCGTATCAAATCTGAATTACTTTGATACAGATTTGTAACATTCATAATCACTCAAACAATATGTCCATCCAATACGTTTATGCCTTACACGCATACTCTCTTTATTAATTTCCATTATAAACCACAGGGACAAATAATACCTAAAAGAACCATTTCCAGCTTTAAATACTGCCTTCGCAATAAATAATGAAAAAATGATGGCAACGTTTCCAGAGGATGAATTTTTCATGATTGCCTTAATTTTGAATGAAGAAGAAAGTTTTGAGAAAAACTAAGTAAAGAAAGTAAACAAAGCAACAAAAGGACACTTTGCCACATTTTTGGGAAGTTTAAAAAAAAAGCTCTGCTATGAACAGACGTTGTTGGACCTCCACTCTTAGAAAATTGACTTTATTGAGATTTAATTTTAATCAATTATAATACTTACTAGTTTTTTCTACTTTATTCTTCTTACAAACACTACCTCCATCCTGCCAATACATTAATTCTTCACCTTCCTTAACATCTCTAACACTAAAAAAATATAGTAAGCCCTCTTTTGCAATAACACATAAATTTCGACTTTCTCTGCTAGGAGCTGGTCGGACAAATCTCGCCCAATTACTCAAATGTAAATCTTCAGTGTTTAAATAAATAAAACTTTTCTCACTTGAACAGATTTCCCATAAATCTCTCATATTGCTATCTTCTGGAACATCAACTTCTTTAACAATTTTACCAACAATGGGTCCTAATTGTGTAAATTGTTGAATTTCATGAGTGGCGAAAACGCCTAAACCGTGATCGTTGTTGGTGTCGTTAAAATATAATTGATCGGGTAATGATAAATAACTATAACTTAATTTGAAATTGTAATCTGTGTTGTTGGTTTCGGTTTCTGCTTGGTCAATTTCTAAGTTTTCCACTTTAAATTCGGCCGAAGTGTTTGTTAAATTTTTTTGTTTCCATTCATCATAAGACAGAGCATCAGTTAAAACAGCGATTGGTTCGTCGAAAGGACATTCGATTTGGACGTGTTTCGAATAACATTTTGTACATTGGGGTTGTTGCGGTTTCGAATCGTTTTGATCAGATTGGTCGACCGTTTCGCGTTTTATATTAGTTACAATTTCGGTGAATTCTTCCCCGTTTGTTAACTTTAAATCTTGCGCGCTATTAAATTCCGGCGCTTTTCTAATATCTATATCAATCTTCTTCTTACTTTTACTCTCACATTTATTGTTACCAGTAGTAATTTTCTTTTTCACTTTTTCACTATCTTTTCTTTTATTTCGTTTTTGAGGCGATTTATTACACTTATCAACATCGACGTCTTTTCCAATAGGATCATCACATAATTCTTCTTTAAGAATTTCATTTGAGATATTTGTAAAATTATCTGTACTACTTGAATCGATTAATTCTGATTTTTGATTTATACTATATCGATTGTTTTCATTATAATTTGCTATGTTTTCATTATTTGCAATTTGATTAATAATTTCGGTGGTTTTATTTTGTAATGAAAGACTATTTTGGGAATACTTAAAATTTTCGGAAGATATATTTGTTTGATGAAATCCATTTTGCATTGATGTGGATTTAATTCCATTTTGTTTATTGCTGTAATAAATAAAGAGATAATAATTATTGAACTAATAATAAGTACATAATAACAAATTGTTGTAAATGGTGTTATGTTGTCTATCATAACTAAAAATGCTTCCTTCTTGATTTTCAGTATTAATTAAAATGTATTACCAAAAATCGTATAACATGTAACATTACATTCAAACAGATTGGTCAAAGAGATCTCAAAGAGCAAGTAAATTGTATATGTTTTTGTCGGACATTGCAATTTATCATGAGACATCTGATGATTTTTTAAATGATTGTAAAGCATATCTGCAAGTTGGAGATCACAATTTTAATACAGTGAAGATTATTGTCGTAATAGTATAGAGTTGGCCGCAATACACTACCTCTTTCATCAAGTACCTCTTTTCCTGCTGGTACTATTTTCTGTACTGCTTCAATTGACTCATGTTGCTGTCTAAAAACAATCTAAATTGAAAATAATGACAAGTAATGAAAATATTTGCTGTTAGTTGGTTATCACGGTAGTGTAGTGTCAGTTTGCTTGAATTGTCTTGCAACATACATATATCCACAAATATGGATTACTGAGTAAAGTGGTGTAGTATAGCGGAGATCGGTGTACCTATGGACAGTTGTACCTAGGACACTTCAGTCCTATTTTAACTCTAAGAGGACAAAATCAAATTGGAGGAGGAACACTTTAAAAAGACTAATAATCGAAGAAAAATATGAATGGAGACTGAAATAAGGAAAAAGGGACTGGACAGAGATGAAAGAAGTTGGTAAAAGACTGTATATACAAGAAAGAATCTACACAGAGAGGAGGAAGGATGGAAAGAGTCTGGTATTAGAAGCTAATAGAAGAAAGGGATTAAATAGAAATTGAAAAAGCGAGAAAGAACCTGGGCAAGGGGAATTTTGTAAGGAAGGAGACTTGAAAGGCAAGACAAGGAACTATATAGAGATGAGGATGATTAGAAAGACTCTGGCAATAGAAGAAAGAACCTGAACACAGACTTATAAGAGAAGAAGGAGATTGCACAAGAAGACTGAACCAATATTTGGCAATAGAAGAAAAAGACTAAACAGAAACTGGAAAGACAAAAAAGAGACTGTGCAGAGAGAGCTAGGGTTGGAGAGAGACTATAAAGACAAGAAAGGAACTATACAGCCTGATTCAGAGTAAGCGCCTTATTTTTTTTTAGCCACACTATGGGTACTACTTTCAAAATATTTGGCAGTAATATGTTTTAGGACACTCTCTACACGATGGTGATATCATATTTTCAATTGGACGAATTATTTCAAAATGGCGACTGTTTTTTATTTTTGAGATCCTAAAAACATTCTTTTTCTGATAGTGTTTTGTTTTTCTTAAAAATTCATTTCTTTCCCCATCAAGAAGCACACTAACATTTTAATCTAGTAAGGCATGAATGTTTTACACTCGATGTTATTTTTGTCCAAATATCAAGTAGCGCTAGACACAAAAGAAACAATTAAACTTTATTTTGCAATAAACATATACTTATTTATTTATTTGGACAAAAATAACATCGAGTGTAAAACATTCATGCGCTACTAGATTTTTTAGGATCTCAATAATAATAAAAAATTTTGGCATTACATTTAAAAAAAAAAGTTGATAGTCACCATTTTGAAATAATTCGTCCAATTGAAAATATCGTGTAAAGAATGTCCTAAAACATATTACTGCCAAATATTTTGAAAGTAGTACCCTAAAAAATATATATGTATAACTTAATCAAGCCGAGGTCGCTTGCGGCCGAGGCGCTAGGTTGATATCATTTTAATACAAATTTGCACAGTTATCGAGAATACAACTGGGTGGTATATAGGGTGGTCCGTTACTAATGGCACAGAGCAACAGTGAATTCTTTACATTAAATTATTACGATTTAACTCAATTTATGTTAGTCCAATTGTTAATAATAACGAAGATACAGATGGTTAAAGTTAATACTTTATTTTCGTTTTTCTTTAATAATTTCGTCTTCTCTTACTTNACGCCACTGAATTCTTCGTAAAAAGTTGCCCATATAATGTTTTATTTATAATACTCCATCTTTGATAATAAGTGAGATATTCGCGATTGTCGTTTTCGCAAAATTTTCAGTTTTTGCCGATAGGGCGAAAACAAAAGACGATAGCTGTTCGGAGTTTTCGGCATTAGCATTTTCTCGAAAAACGAGATCATGACATGTAAGCTACTTTTTTTCTATCTCTTTTAGTTTCGGAGATAGCCTATGTGGACATCGAAATTGGGACACCCTGTACTTGCACTGCCCCATACAAAATGCAACATAGCTTAATACAGGCATTGGGTAGTTTTGCAAAGGAAAAGTTTTGCTTTTAAAAGGTGACGTCTTTATGATAACTCCAAGTTTTCCCCTTAAGAGGCGCATGGCTAAACTCGCATGTTTTTTGGTTCTAGGTCTAGTGTTAGTTCTAGTTTAACACTAGCACTGTTATTATGCAGAACTAATAGTATACCTACAACTAGAGTCATATGGATTTAGCCGTACGTCTTTAAAGACGGCTAAACCCGAATGTTTCTAGTTCTAGGTCTAGTGCTAGTTCTAGTGTTAGTTCAATAAAAATATGCAATATAGTGATATTAGTGATATTTTATGCTAACTAGCGTTACCTACTACCTACCAGCCGTCTTAAGACAAGTACGACTAAACAGGATGTTGCTAGTTCTAGTGCTAGTGTTAGTCTTGTTTTATTTGTTATTCAGCGCTAACGGACACTGCGTTCCCCGTATTGATTCGTTATATCGACTGTAATATTAAATTATATTGACATGTTGCATTTTATGTGGGACAAAGTAAGTATTTAGGTACGCCCTGGTTTCTATTGAAATATACAGGGTGGTTCAGCACCTGGTTTTGCACCTCCATCACCTTCTGTAAGTTAATATATACAGCCTGATTCAGAGTAAGCGCCTTATTTTTTTTTAGCCACACTATGGGTACTACTTGCAAAATATTTGGCAGTTGTATGTTTTTTTTTCATCAAAAAGCAACCTAACATTTTAATCTAGTAGCGCATGAATGTTTTACACTCGATGTTATTTTTTTGTCCAAATAAATAAATAAGTAGATGTTTATTACAAAATAAAGTTTAATTGTTTCTTTTGTGTCTAGCGCTACTTGATATTTGGACAAAAATAACATCGAGTATAAAACATTCATGCGCTACTAGATTAAAATGTGTGCTTTTTGATGGGGAAAGAAATGAATTTTTAAGAAAAACAAAATATTATCGTATAAAGAATGTTTTTAGGACATCAATAACAAAAAAAAAATTTGGCATTCCATTTAAAAAAAAAAAGTTGACAGTCGCCATTTTGAAATAATTCTTCCAATTGAAAATGTGGCATCACCATCATGTAGAGAATGACCCAAAATATATTACTGCCAAATATTTTGAAAGTAGTACCCATAGTGTGGCTAAAAAAAAATAAGGCGCTTACTCTGAATCAGGCTGTATAAAGAGGAGGAAGACAGTGACGACAACTGACTCTCAATGGAATAAAGAAACAAAAGGTCGGAAAGAGAAAAAAAAAAGATAGTAGGTTATGAGAAAAGGTTAAAAAAGCAAAAAAGGAGTCTTTAAAAAAAGGCAAGAAAAGAAGCAGACAATGAAGAGAAATATTGGACAGAGTCTGGTAATAAAAGCAAGTGACTGAACAATGGAAACAGAAGAAAGAGACTGGGCATTAGGTTGGAAACAGACTGTTAAGGTAAGAAGGGAACTAGACAGAGAAGGCGATGACTGGGAAAAAAGTGGTAAGTAGCAAGAAGTAAGCAACTGAATGCATATCGAAAATGATCAAAGATGAAAATTCACTGAACAGACTGGAAAGTGAAAAAGGATACAGTGCAGAGAGGAAGTAGACTGATAAGAGATTCCAAAAAGCTTGAAAAAGGTTTGATACAATTGAAAAATTCTGGTTGAGGATGATAAAGAATTCAAGATTGCTTCTGAAGATATTCTCCTAAAGTTACCACCACCAAATGTTGACTTAACTGAGCGCCAATCAATTTTTTTTGTGAATTCGGTGAATGGTTTAATTTGGGTTAGTTAGATTTTCTTTTATATTTATACTCACTTAAAATATTTAGGTAAAATTTGCATCCAGTTGGGACCAAGAAACAAATATAATTTTGTATTTAACAGATAGTAACATAAAAACCAAGTCACATTGACAAAATAACCGTTTTGTCAAAGTTAAATACTTTAAGTATAATTTTAAGCAATACAAGAAGTCTTAACGATATAGTTAAAGGTTTGTTAATGAAAAAAAAGATCGGTCACTAAGCAGAAAACTGTGCAAAACGATAAACTATTTTTTTGATTCTTCCAGATTGGGCCAATGACTATAAATAACAAACAAGAGAAAAGTTTTTATTTTGCGCAGCACGGTTGTCGGAAAATAAATACAATATTTCAACATTTTTATCCAGTACGTTTGTTATAAAGTGATGCAAAAAACTTATTGATTCATTTTATGTCTTTTTACATTGAGCTTCATGATACATATAAAAATATGGCTTTTCAAATTTGCCTGAATATACACAAATATTACACATCCATAGTTGTCTTAAGTAGAACGCATCGCTAGTAGGGACTTCAGGCAGTGGCGCATTCTGTTGAAACTTAAATGAAAGTGTCAACAGTAGGATCATTTCTCGCCAAAGTCTGCTTAATTTTTAGTTCATCATAAAAAAACTTTTTTTTTCTATCTTATGCATAGCACAATTGAATATCACCTAGTAAATACATACTAATTAGTTACTTATTTTTAACACCAAATTAAACCAGATAATGTTTTGCAGCTTTTCCCAGTGGTCCAGTCTGCTTTACCCATAATATAGATAAATATTGTCATATTTTTACCGTTTTAAGATCAAAAAACACAAAAACGCGAACACTGCGATACGCGGAACACACGTTTAGGGTATTATTGGTTTTGTTATAATTCGGCACTATTGCTCGCGTTTGAATCGACTAGGGCACTAGGTCACTAAATCGAACGGCTTCATCCTCTGAAGGCGACGCAGGACATCCTCATTGTCGAGAAGCTGGATGGCCTCAATGTTGGGTTGATCGCGCATTCTCTTCTCATGTTTAGATGCGAATGATGCAATTTCTGATTACACCGATGCTACTTTCAATGTACCTAATTTTATGCACCTTAGTACTTTGTTCTGGAATCTTTGAATCAGACTTGCATTTGTTTTGCAGGTACAGTCGTGTTCACGGGAAATGCGTACCGAGGAGCTAAACGGGCTCGTGGAGAAGGAACTTGTGGCGATCCCGGACAGGTAAGCGGCATGTCGGATCTCACAACAGCTCTTGACCTTCGGTACGCATTTCCCGTGAACACGACTGTACAACCCCACAGTTGGATTCTCTATGTCCATTTTGGTTTTAATACTTGCTTGTATATTAGCAACTTGTTACTTAGTGATAGCGTTGATTTTCTGCCAATAAGCCAATATAGGTGTCTAAATTTGATATCAAGTTCCTCACGTTTTTTTTTTGACGTGAGCTTTTCATTTCAGTTTGGCATCCAGCATTGCCATTTATGTGTACTGGGACATAGTTTACTTTCTTATAAGTAAAGTTTATGTATGCCGATTTATTTATATTTAGTTTTATTAGCCATCGTTTGGTACAGTTTTCTACTGAATTTAAGGCCAATTGTAACTTTTTTGCTGTAACTACTTCATTTTCTGCAACAGCCAAGATCGCTGTGTCATCTGCGAATGTAGCTGTTAAAGTTTCTGGTACCTGAGCAAGGTCGAATGTGTAGAGTAAGTACAGTGTTAGGCCAAACACACTTCCTTGAGGAACTCCGGCTCGTATTTCATGTAGTGGTCAGTAAGTGCTTTCGTATTTTACTCTAAAATATCGATCAGAAAGATACGATTTTAATAGTTGACTATACGTTGATGGTAGTATTTGGTCTAGTTTGCAATTTAAATCATCTAACCAGACTTTGTCGAAAGTTTGCGCAACATCCAGAAATACGGCGGAGCAGACTTTATTTTCTTCCATTGCTATTTCGATAGTATTCGTTATTCTATGCACTTGGTCTATTGTTGCATGTTTATTCACAACCCAAATTGATGTGTTGATATTAGGGCTTTTTCTTCTATGACTGGTTTTAGTCTTTTTAATAGTAATTTTTCAAGCAGTTTTGATAGTAAGGGTAATATTGAGATTGGCCTATATGATGTAACATCTTTGGGGTGTTTACCAGGTTTTGGTATCATTATTATTTCAGCAACTTTCCATATGCTTGGGAAGTATTTCTGTTTAAAGCAGCATTAATTATTATGTGTAATAGTTTTGTAATCGCGCGTTTTGGTAGATGTTTGAATGTTTCTCCATTAATTAGGTCATAGCCTACTGATTTCTTTATATTTAGTTTTTGTATTTCATAATACAGTTCTTTTATTCTTACACATGGTATATTATTCTGCTCATCAAAAAAAATGTAAAAGTTTCGTTCAGATGTTCAGCAAACAAATTAACTTTTTCTTGATTGCTCTTAGCCCAATTTCTATTATTATTTCGAATTGGAGGTGTATGCGTTTTTCGAACTTTAGACTTTCTTGTTGCCTTCCACAGAGAATAATCAGTACTGCCATCATCAGTAATGTCTTTTAAGTAATTTTGAATATTATTATCTTTTTGGCTATCTGTTAATGCTCATAATTCGGCTGTTATTTTATTTAATTTAGTTTTATCACTAGGAATTCTATTGGTTTGCAATTTCTTTCTTGCTTTCCGTTTTTCTGCAATTTTGTCTCTAATGAATTTAGGATAAATATTAGATTTAGGTAATTGGTGTTGAGACCCAGGCTGCGTTTTGTATGTCTTTTAAGAACTTTTCTACTTCATTGTCAATGTCTCCCTTTGTTTTCATAAGAGCATTAAGGTAAATTTTATTATCTAATGTTTGTTGAATAGATTCCAATTAGTGAGTTTATTAGTTAGTGATAAAAAGGGTTCTTTGTTATTTAGAGTAATAATTACTGGTGAGTGATCTGAGTGCAGCCCTAACTCTTCTTTTATGTTTACGAAGTTAAGCGATATATTTTTTGTAATAAAAAAATCAAGCAGGTCCAGAATTTTACTTCTATCTGTTGGCCAGTAAGTTGGCTTCCCAATGGAGAGCACCTGACAATTTAGGGCCTCTAATGCATGGTTCTGTTCTCTTCATTTTGTATTTGTCAAGCGGGAACTCCAAGACATATGTTTTGCATTAAAGTCTCCTTCAAGTATAAATTTGTTGTCAAAATGTAGTAGAATTTCTTGATAATCTTCTCTTTTGAGATTATGTCTTGGTGGTATGTATGTTGCTCCTACAGATATTAAGCCATTAACAGTTTGAACTTTTACCACTGTAGTTTGGTCTTGTTCAGTACTAATTGTATTGTTCAAATAGTGGTCAACATTTTACCAACACATAAAAAAACTTGGCATTTATTGAGGTGCAACTGTTTTTCAGTTTCAAGCTCATTCTTCTGATGCTCGGTTAACTCGTTATTTTTAATCTTATTTTCTAATCTATCAAAAGTTTGTCACTTCTAAAGTGGCCAAAAGAATAGTTTTTGAAGTTTGATTTAAAATATCTATAAAATAAATCCTAAGAGACCACTCATTAGGCTTAACACTCATTATACTGCAGGTTCCTATGTCTTCTCATAGAGCAACTCATACAGGAGCTGCCTTATTGTTGCTATAATTTAAAAGTGGAGGCAGCTCCATTTAACATTGCTCTACCAAGATTCAATTTGGTTGGTGCCTCAGTGTTGCACCAATTGATAGCTACTATTTTATTGGATGCAACAGTGTATTTAATTCATTTTTGACAAAAAGTGAAGCTGTCTTGTTGTTGTTGCAAGGTCTTCAATTTGTAATTAATGTCATTTTGATTAATGTCAATTTGATTATGACAGTGGCCAAATTGGTTTTGTTTAATGCCTATTTGAGCTTGATTAGTACCAATTTGAAGTTGAGATGGTATAGTTACATAAATGTTATAAAACAATTTAAAAACAATGTAAACAAAAACGTATCAACACGTGTTTTTGTTATTGATCTGTCAAATTAAGCTCCGCCTTCAAATATGTCACCTGTGCGTAAGTGGTCGATAAAAAACCAACCTAATCATTCAGTTTAAAAAAAATATCAAACGCACCGAAAATAACAAAAAGAAATATTAAAAATTACCTGTTAAGTTCAGTTTCTGCGAAATCCAATAGGATCGAAACGAATTGTTCGTTCGACGGGCAAGAGAACAACAACTTGAGCTCGGTCCAACGTTTGACGTTTGCGGCACCGATAACGGCATTCAAGGCGACGATCTGGTCGGTTTTCGCGATTTTTTCCGCACCGTTCACCACCGGTCGCTTCCTGTTCTCTTTCTGGTGTCGTTTGGACATAATTGGCGCGGAAACTTTAAATAAATATTAGACAAACACATTGTTGAGGCCCATGTATTGTATACTATCGCCTATCCTCTTTATTGTCAAGGACGAAGGCGGCTTGTGTGGGACGGCGGGGGGCGGGAAAACTTGGCCAATTCAAAACTTTCAGAAAAGAGAATCGCAAATCATTTGGGTTTAAAGTTAAAAATAAAAAAATTTATGTTGGTTTGTTCGAAACTTAGCTTGATTGAATTCTTTATAAATATTTAATTAAAAAATTTTTTTTTAAAGAATCTAAACTTAAATTTAATTCTTAATAAAAAAAAATAAAATACAAAAAAAAGTCGAATTTATTGTTATTTACAATGTTATTGTTTTAAAAAGTCAAACAATAATTTATTTTGCAAAAACATAAATAATTTAACGTTAATTATTGGCGCCATCTATTATTTAAAAATCGAAATCGAAATGTCATTTTAAAACTCATTAAAGAGGTTATGTTGGTTGTGGTTATGTTATAAAACGTGGTGTTTATTTCGAAAAAATGGCTAAATTGGGTTCTTATTTTGGTTTGTGCCCTTTAGTGGATCAACATAACTTGCTAGGAATTTCCGAAGCGTCCGAAAATGGGCACATTATTGTTACATTATGTAAAAATATAGTTGCAAAATACAGGGTGAGTCAAAAACTAAATTTAATTTACAATTTTGCTCATAAAATCCATTTTTTTTGTAGGTTTCAGATCAAAAACAAATACAAAGTTGGCGAACTAAAGATAAATTAAGTTCACCGGTTATATTTAATAAAACTGATAAAAAATACGTTGGAACTTTCAATTCGGTGAATATAAAGATTTGGAGTGATGATGATGAGCATTTAGATAAATTAAAAAAATACAAAGTAATTAATAATTTTGGAAAAATTTAAGAATCATCATGTGGCTTAAAAATCAATGATAATGAATGTTTAGCTGCACATCTCTCAAGACTGCTAAACCTGCATGATTCCAGTTCTAAGTATAGTGTTAGTTCTACATAGTAACAGTGCTAGTGTAAAACTAAAACTAACACTAGACCTAGAATTAGAAAGTATTTTGTTTAGCCATGTTTAGGAAACCCATTGGCTAGACCAGAGTATTATTGCTTATTATCTCCATAAAACATTGAGAAAAATGTTGAGAGATTATCATAAACTTCTACAAATTCTGCAAGTTGATTGAAAAAGATGCAGCACATATTAGGTACTGATTCCAGAAAGTTTAGAATCAGTTCTAAGTATTTAGAAAACATTGAGGTTGGACTTTATTCTATTGTCATATTTACAATAGATTCTGAAAGAGTTTGGTGTTATTCCAAGCTGCGTTTTTAAACTTTTTGAATTATTACATCTTTTGGCAAATACTAAAACTTATCAGACTCAGTTTTGAGTGTTCACATAAAATTATACAAGTTGCAGGAAAAGATGTAGTACATTTTAGGATGTGGTAACTGTTTGCAGAAAGTTCAGAATCAATATTAAGTGCTTAGACAATGTTGAGGTTGGTGTTATTGAAAGCTGCGTTTTGAACCAAATTTAGCTTATGATTGCTTTGTTGATTAAAGAAAAATATAGATTTTATGTAAAGATTACAAGGTAAAGAAAACAATAATAACTATTATCCCTGAATAAACATAGAATAGAAGTTTTCCACTGAAGCAGTATACTTAAATTGTTACCACTTGTATGTGGTTTTTCAATCAACTCATTGGTGCAGTCTAGGTCGGTGTAATTTGTCCTATTCTTTGGGCTCATTGAATTAGATGCTGATCATTTCAGAAAAACTTGGAATATCCAGTTTTTTATTTGTTTCTTCACTATGGCGTCACTTAAGTTGGCATGCAATAATCTTTTTATTTCTGGAAGCATCACATTATATAGTTTTGGTGCAACGTAATTTAGGCTATGCTCTCATATTGTTTTATTACATTTTGGAAGTTTTGCAGTTATGTTCCTGTTTCTTGTGTCATAGGAAGGTCTATTTGATTCATTAAGTGACTATGTGTGTGTACATACATCAACACTTTCTGACTATATATTTGCCTTGTGTTTAGTACCTGGCTTATGTTATAATAGGTAACTCATTTGAAAGTGATGTTATATTTTTGTTGTACATTATTCTTAATATCCATTTCTGTAGTTTATTAATTTTCTCCAAATGAGTATCGTTGGCTCCTCCTCAACCCAAAACGACGTATTACATAAGAGATTGCACAAGGGGAGTAGTAAACAATTTTCAGTCCTCTGATTTTCTTTACAATGGTTTCAATCTGTAAATTCCAACATAGATGTTGATCAATAATTATGCCTATATATTTTATTGATGATGCTTGTGGAATATTGATTGAGATAGGATTGGCTTTCTTTCCAGTGAATATTTCCAAACTCCAAACCCATTTCATTTGCATTATTATATGTTTTGGCAAACACCAAAACTTATCAGAATCAGTTATAAGCGTTTACATAAAATTGATTCCGGAAAGTTCAAAATCCGCGAATCTGGGTTGGTCATCATAGATAGGATTAAGATAAAATATCTCTTTCCAAGACAAAAAAAATCTGTTGTAGTTCAATAATATTATATACATTTTATTATCTAACGCTAAATACATTTAATAATAATAATAATAGTACTTTATTGACCGCAACAACCAACATAAAAAAGNTATGTTATAATAGGTAACTCATTTGAGAGTGATGTTATATTTTTGTTGTACATTATTCTTAATATCCATTTCTGTAGTTTATTAATTTTTTCCAAATGAGTATCGTTGGCTCCTCCTCAACCCAAAACGACGTATTACATAAGAGATTGCACAAGGGAGTAGTAAACAATTTTCAGTCCTCTGATTTTCTTTACAATGTTATCAGTCTGTAAATTCCAACATAGATGTTGATCAATAATTATGCCTAAATATTTTATTGATGATGCTTGTGGAATATTGATTGAGATTGGATCAGCTTTTTTTCCAGTGAATATTTCCAAACCCATTTCATTTGCATTATTATATGTTTTGGCAAACACCAAAACTTATCAGAATCAGTTATAAACGTTTACATAAAATTGATTCCGGAAAGTTCAGAATCCGCGAATCTGGGTTGGTCATCATAGATAGGATTAAGATAAAATATCTCTTTCCAAGACAAAAAAAAATCTGTTGTAGTTCAATAATATTATATACTTTTTATTATCTAACGCTAAATACATTTAAAACTAGAACTAACACTGGACCTAGAACTAGAAACATTCGGGTTTAGCCGCACATCTCGCAAGACGGCTAAACCCGAATGATTCTAGTTCTAGGTCTTGTAAAAAATAATAATAATAATGCTTTATTGTGTTACTAAGCTGCTACTCTTACACCCGTCCAAATAAATACATTTCCTTATTTCATAAATACACTAGCATAAACAAAAATCAAGAGTATGGTGGTTACAATCCGATTCCTGCATATAGGAACTCCTTCATAGAATAAAATGTTTTCTGACACAATATCTTTTTTAAGCTACCTTTAAAAATCTTTCTATTAGACTCTCCTATTAATGCACTCGGCAGCTTGTTAAGCACCACTCGAGATAAGTACTCTGGTCCAAGCTGTGTTTTGGATATACGACAGTAATTGTTATAAATTTTATCCTTATTTCTAGTATCATGCTCATGAATATCGGCATTTATCGTAAAATGTCCCCTGTTATCAAAAGCATACAGAGCGCATTCGAGAATAAAAAGTGAGGTTAAAAGAGAGTTAAAATCTTTAATCTATTAAAAACATCTCGGCAGTCTTCTGTGTTAGTTCTAGTGATAGTACTAGTGCAAAACTAGAACTAACCCTAGACCGAAAACTAGAAACATTTGGATCTAACCCCACGTCTCTCAAGACGACTAAACCCGAATGATTTTAGTTTTAGGGCTTGTGTTAGTTCTAGTGATAGTGTAAAACTAGAACTAACACTAGACCTAGAACTAGAAAATATCGGGTTTAGCCGTGCGCCTGTAGACGAACGATAGTTTTTCCAACAAAAAAAAAATCAATTAATATTTTTCACAAAATAATGTTAAGTCAAAAGGAAGATTTCGTCAAAATCTAAATGAAATAAGAACCCCGTTGGCTAGACCAGAGTATTATTGGTTATTATCTCTGTAAAACATTGAGGAAAATATTGAGAGATTAACATAAACTTCTACAAATTCTGCAAGTTGATTGAAAAAGATGCAGCACATATTAGGTACTAATTCCAGAAAGTTTAGAATCAGTTCTAAGTATTTAGAAAACATTGAGGTTGGACTTTATTCTATTGTCATATTTACAATAGATTCTGAAAGATTTTGGTGTTTCTAAACTTTTTGAATTATTACATCTTTTGGCAAATACTAAAACTTATCAGACTCAGTTTTGAGTGTGCACATAAAATTATGCAAGTTGGCAGGAAAAGATGTAGTACATTTTAGGATGTGGTAACTGTTTCCAGAAAGTTCAGAATCAATTTTATGTTGAGACATAAAATCTTAGACATCTTAGACATTGTTGAGGTTGGTGTTATTGAAGCTACGTTTTGAAACAAATTTAGCTTATGATTGGATCGACTTTCTTTTCAGTGAATATTGCCAAACTCCAAACCCATTCCATTTGCATTATTACATCTTTTAGCAAACACCAAAACTTATCAGTATCAGTAATAAGCGTTTACATAAAATTGATTCCGGAAAATTTAGAATACGCGAATCTGGATTGTTCATCATAGGTAGGATTAACATAAAATATCCAAGAAGAGAAAAAAAATCTGTTGTTGTAGTAATATTGGTAATACTGTGTTCTTTGCCTTGGAACTCAAATTTGGCCTTCAAATTTAATTCGTTCAAGTGTTGTGTCATATCAGTTAAAAATGCAAGATCAGCCAGGAATAAAGGATCTTGCATAGAATTTTGCAGCTCAGAAGTGTCTGATTTTATTTCATTTTTTAGAAATAAAGGTATTTTTTTTCGTAAAGCAAAAAAACGTTCAGCACTAAGCCATCTTATTTTGGAATGTAATAACAAATCTCCATAGGTTGCATCAATTTCACCTAAAAAATGTCGAAATTTTCTATGACTCAAAACTTTGTTTTCGCCTCTAATGAGATTTGTTATTCTAACAACAACTTTCATGGCATTCGTTTGGCGCAAAGATTTTCCACATATATATATGATGCGATGAATCAACGAGCA